GAGGAGAGGGGTGGCCTCAGTGACTTTAGTTAATCACTTTGTCCCTTGGGACGTTTTCTGCTCTGTGGGATGGTGCTGAGAACCCTCTTGTCACAGGGCTGTAGGAGCACAAAGGGACCCAGGAGGTGACACATGCTATTGTCCAAAGGGACCTGAGGCCCTGGTGGAGCCTGGAATCTATTTTAGTAAGGGCCTGGGTGGCCTTCCCTCCCCTAAGGAGCCACCGTGGCCCTGTGAATGGTAAATCAGAACATGCTCCTCTACCCTGGATGTCCCCGGCCCCTCACACTGGGACAAATCCTATGCCCCTCATCCCACCACCTGGAGAGGAAGCCCTACCTGCCAGGCTCTTGCTGGCCTCCCAACCTCACCTCTAATTGTCCTTCCCCTCCCTCCCTTGGCTCCAGCTGCTGCAGCCTTCTTGCAATTCTAGAACTTACCAGGCTTATGGCTGCCTTGGGTCCTTTGCACTTGCTGTCAGTTGTCTGGAATGGCTGTTCTCCAGTTCCTTCCACAGCTCGATTGCTTGCTTCATCCCTCCTCAGAAGCCACCTTTTGCAGGCCTTGTTTATCCCGTGTCCTGCTGCAATGACATGGCGTATTTATCTGGCTCCCCACTGGAAGCCCCCTGAGGGCAGACACTCTTTCTCAGGCACTGCTCAATTCCCGGTGCTCAGCAGGGTGTGTGCTCAGCAGAGGGATCGTGGTCTACCCTCTGCAAAACCCCATTCTCGGCTTCGGCCTTCCCTGGCCCTCTGGGACCTCTCCCCCAGCACCAGACCATTCCCAGCTCCCCTTGTGACAGTCCACTTGTCCCCTCTTGTCCCCTCTGGATTTGGGTAAATGATTGACAGAATCGATCCTCGTCACGTTCCCTTGCTCTGGCATCCATTTGCCGTGTGACCTTGGGCAGCCTTGGACCTCAGTGAATTTGAGCTCCCCCTCTGTATAGGGAAGGGTCAGCGGGCACACAGCCTCTAGGAAAGCCTCGTCTGTCTGCCAAGGTCTGTTCCTTATCGTTTATTTCTTGACAGAACCAGCCCGTCTGCTCTTGTCCGCCCGCGTGTGAGAAGGCTGTGAAAAATACCTGTGAGAAGGACCGAGAGGAAGAGAGTTTATTTTGGCTGCACGAGGCTCAGCTCATGGTGGGCTGGCTTCATCGCTTAGCACCGAGGTGAGGCAGCAGGTCACTGAGGAAGGGCCTGGGGGAGGACAGCTGCTCAGCTCACAGCAGCTGGGAAACAGAGATAGAGACAGAGAGATAGAGGAGAGACTGGGGAAGGTAAAACCAGCCAGGAGACGTCCCCAGTCACCCACTTCCTCCAATGAGACCCGCTTCCTTCAGTGCCCATCATCTCTCAATAATCCACTCTAATTCAGCAAGTGGATTAATCCACTGACGAGGTCAGAGCCCTCAAGACCCAAAGCCCCGTCTCTGGACATTGCTGCACTAGGGACCAAGGCTGCGCACATGGGCCTTTGGGGTCATGTCATAGACAGACCCTCACCGTCTATTTGCTGCTTGATGAGGCTCTTGGTGGCTTTGGTGAGACACTGGTGCTTGCAGACCCCAAATTCCTTCACTCACTAGAGTCTGCCGTGGGCCAGGACCAGAGCTATATTCTGGGGGCAAGAGGGGTGACACATGCCTGCTCACTCTGTGGGCTCAGGCCCAGGGGACAGGGGCACAGAGACAGAGGCAGAGCAGCATGCTCTGCTGCGTGCAGGGCTGGTGACAAGCCCATCTAGCGTCCCGACAGCTTGTGAAGCCAGTCATCCTTGCTCTGCCTGGGCTCCCTGGGTTGTGCGGAGCATGACCTTACCTGGACTCTATTGCTCACCTGCCTTGACGTCCACACCCACGTCTGCCCAACACCTTCCTTCTCTCTTCCCTCTGTTCCCAGGAGGAGAACGTGCAGGGGTCTGTCACGAGATTCATTCATTCCTTGGCAACACAAAGCCTCCTGCTTGCTGAGCTGGGGAGGAAGACACCATCCTGCCCTCGAGGATCGGACAAGCTTTTTATTATGCAAAGTTTCAAAAGTGCACAAAAATGGAAAGAGTAGCAGATAAGCCCCTGTATTTCCATCAGCAGATTCGGTTATTTTCAACAAAGATCAATACCATTTTGGGGTACCTCCTGGTGTTCCCCCCGTGAAATGCTTTAAAACAAATCCTACGTATCATTTCATGGTCACAGATTTAGAACATCAGAACCTGGTAGCCCTATCACACCCCAAAAGCAATAATCCCTTAACATCACAAATACCAAGTCATCGCTTCCCTAATACACAAGGCCTTCTCTCTCTCAATCTCTCTGTCTCTCTTCTCTCTATTTGTGGTAAAATTCACATAAACAAAGTTACCCTTCTAAAGGGGTCAGTTTGGAGGCATGTAGCACACTCACAATGTCGTGCAAACACCACCTCTATCTGGTTCCATCACCCCTGAGGACTTCGCTTCTTTTTATGGCATAAGGTATCAGTGGGTAGCCATTCTGTTTGTCTGATCATCTGTGGGTGGACACTGGAGTTGGTCCTGCTTTTGGGCTGTTGTGAAGAACACTGCAGTGGACATAGGCTACAAGTGTCTACTCAAGTCCCCGCTGTCAGTGCCTCTGGGTCCATTTTGCTTTTGGAGCAAACGGAAACTGTTTCCCCTGGACACGGCGTCATGATCTTACGGACACTGACTGTGGGGGGGTTCCAGTTTCTCCATATCCTTAATGACACTTGCTATTTTCCTTTTTAAATTTGATTGGTAGATTGTGGTACTAGGGATAGAAGCCAGGGCCTTACACATACTAGGCAACTTTTTAAAACATAAAGGGTGTCCTGCTGGATGTCATGTGGGTGCTCACTGGGGTCTGGGTTTGCATTTCCCTAGTGACCAACGATGGTAGCATCCATTTAGGTGCTTGTTAGTTGGCTCGTCTTCTTTGGAAACATTGTATTCAAATGCGTTTCTGTTTTTGATTGGACTGTGTGTTATTTTATTATTGAGTTGGAAGAGTTCTCCAGATGTTGCAGTATGATCTCCTTATCCCATCAAGGATTGGCAGATGTCTCTACCCATGCTGTAGGTTGACTTTGGACTCTCTTGAGAATGTCTTCTGAGGCACCAGAGTTTTTAATTTTGATAAAGTCCTGTTACCTGTATTTTTCTTTTCTTGCTTGTGCTTTTGGTGTCAGATGTAAGAATCTGTTGCAAATAAAAAACCTTGAAGACTTGCCCCTATGTTTACTTTGAAGAGTCTGATAACCTTGGCTCTTAAAATTTAGATCTTTGGTCCATTTCATATATGGTGGAGGTTAGAGGTCCCTCCTGACATCTCCTGTTTACAAAGGAATACAGCACAGGACATTTTTTTCTTTTGGTATCATATTGGTAATATACTTTATTATTATTATTTTTATTTGTTCTACTTAGTTGTCCATGACATTGTACACAAATGGAGCGCAACATTTCAATTCTCTGTGGTACACAGTGTAGAGACGCACCATTTGTGCAATCACACATGTAGCTATGGTAATGATGTCCATCTCGTTCCACCATCTTTTGTACCCCCATGACCCCTCAGCACATGACTTTTAATTGAAAACTTTCTTATTTGCACTTGTTAGTACTCTCAATGCTGTTGGAGAGGTGACACCTTGACACTTTGATTCACCATATATTCTCAATAAGATGGTAATGATCAGCACATAGAATATAATAAATATTTAGTGAATAAGTGAATGAATGAGTTGCTATGATTTTTGGTATAGGATATGGTTACTGATATCATTGGGTTCAGACCTTCCAATATGTTTGTTTTCTATTTTGTCTATCTGCATTTCATTTTTTTTCAAGTCTATTAACTTCTGTTTTGGGTTATTTGAGTCGTTTTCATATTTCCATTTTATCTCAATTGCTGACTCATTTGTAATTTGGTCTTATATTTTTTTTCAGTAGTTTCTTGAAGCCCTACAACATAAATTTCTGATTTATTATGATGTGCTTTCAAATAACATTTTATCTCTTCAAGTAATGTGTAAGAGCCTTTTATGAACACACTTGCTTTTTTCTCTCTCTGGCCTTTATGCTACTGTTATTATCCTTTTATTTTGGAATATGAAATAAAATCCACAACACAATTATTTTTTCTGTAAGCACTCAATCATCTTTCCAAGAGACTATAAATGAGGAAGATTCTACCTATTTGCCACTGTTTATTCTCAGGTTCCTATACCAATTTCCATCTGGCTCATTTTTCTTCCTTCAAAGCACTGGCTTTAACATTTGTTGGGGGGTGGTTAGGGGAGTCTGCTGGTAATGAATTTTCAAATCTTTTATTTGTCTGGACATATTTTTATTTCCCTTCAGTTTTGAAGAATATATTTTCTGAATATACAATTTGCTTTGATCTTTAATTCTTTTAGTAGCTTAACCAGGCCAGTCCATGACCTTCCATCTGCATAGTCTCTTATTGGAAGTTCAATGTCATTCTTTTAATTTTTTCCCCCTCTGTGCACACTCCGTCTTTTCCTCTGATTTTAATATTTCCTCTTTATCACTGACTTCCAGTGTTATGATTTTGATGAGCCTTTGTGTATTTTTTATGTTTACTATGAGTTTGTTGAGCTTAGCATTTTTTTGAATCTTTGAGATTAGTATTTTTTTAAAAAAATCACATCAAAAAATTTCAACCATAATTTTATTCAATGTTTCCTGTCCCTAATCTTTTCTTCTAGAACTGTAACTATTTGTTTGTAAGACCGCCTGGAATTTTCCAACAGGCCCCTGGTTTCCCAGCCATCTCTCACTTCAGCCTTTTTGTTCTCTGTTCTTTATTTTTATAATTTCTCTTGCTATGTATTTAAAATGACTGATCTTTTTATTTTCACTCTCTAATCTGATGTTCATACCAATTGGTGTATTTAAAAAATAATTTCAGATATTGTACTTTTTAATCTCTAAAAGTTCCATTTGGTTTTTTTTTCCAAATATCTTTTCAATCATAGCCATTTCCCCATTTCCCCACATTTTATTGAACATGCAGGCCATATAATTAGAGTTAGTATAAGGGTTTTTTTTTTGTACTAGGGATTGAACTCAGGACCTTGTGCATGCAGGACAAGCATTCTACCCCCAAGCTACATCCCCAGGCCTATTTTAAGGTTTTTATCTTCTAATATTTCCATGTCTGTCCTGAGTCTGTTTCTATTGATTGATTCTTTTCTTGTGATGAAAGGTCATTCCTGTTTTGATGCATGCCTGCTGATTTATGAATTTCACATTGTCGGGTATTATATTTTGTTCTATTTCTTTAGATAGTGCTGGAATGATTTCCATCTTGCTTTTAAGGTTTTTAAAGACAGATTAAGAGTGGCCTTTGGTGTGGACTTATACAGCACTACTTTTAATTCTGTTGGCTCTACCCAAGATTCTCATTTTTCCACTCTGGCTGCTAACCAATCATGTTATTCTGTAGTGGTTCCTCACCTCATCTCAGGTAGATTTCCTAGGTGCCCACAGAGTAGTGCCCAGCCTGAGGCCTGAGCTGGCCCTCTGCAGATCTCTGGAGCATGCTGTCAGCATCTGCATCTTTGGTATTCTACCTCACAGACGCTAACCACCTTGGCCTCCTCATGTTCTGAGATCTATTTCTTCAGCTCAAGGAGGCAGACTTTCTTTGGGCTTCCTCTTCCTGACCTAAGGTCTAGAAACTTCCTCCAGGCTATCAGAGAGGCAACAGTAGAGCCCACGTTGTGTGTTGGCTTCTCTCTGTAGGACAGTCGCCCAAAGCCTATTATTACTCAATATTTTAACATCATTGCCTCACATATATTGTCCAGCTTTCTGATTGTTTCAGGAGAATTTGTCCAGTAATTATTATTCCTTTGTAGCTAGCAGGAGGATTTTTAAAAAATTACTAGTTATTTTTATAATTTTTTTTTATAATTTTAAAGTTTAGAGAATATGTTCTGTTAACAATTTTATGAAGTTTTAAGGTTTTGTTGCAGTTGTAAGGTTTTGTTTTTGTTGTTCATAAATAATCTTAAAAAGGTACTATGGACATATAAGATGCATATTTTCTCTTGCAGACCTGGGGATGAAACCCAGGGTTTGGAGAATACCATGCAAGCATTCTGCCACCGAGCTATATCCCCAGCCCTTTTCATTGTTATTTTGAGACAGAGACTTGCTAAATGACCCAGACTGGCCTCAAACTTGAGATTCTCCTGCCTCAGCCACCTGAGTAGCTCAGATAACAGGAACGTGCCACCATGTTCCATGACTTCCACATGTTTATAGAGTCCCACACAGAATGTGGGAGATCAGGGGGCACAAGGCACCTCCAAGATCACTCACCACTGCAGGATTCATTGGGCTTAGAGTCCCGAGGCCCCAAGTCTTCTTTGCTGGACCTGCTCTCTCTGCAGAAAGTTCTAGGTTTACTGAGGTTGAAGTAATGGCATTAAGACCACCAGGAAAACCTGTGGATCAACTGGGTTTGTTGAACTTACTGAGCAAGGAACAGCACCACTGCTGTGGTTGGAATATATCCCCCCAGATTCATATGTTGGAGACTTAATCCCCAAATTCATAGGTTAATGGTACTTGGAGGTGGAGCCTTGGCAAGGTAATTAAGATTAAATGATGTCATGGAGGTCCCACATGACATTGGTGGCTTTATTAGAAGAGGAAGAGAGACTAATCTAGTGTCCTTGTCCTGTCCTGCCATGCGACACCCTCTACCATGTTATGATGAAGCAAGAAGGTCCCCAGCAGCTGCTGATTCATGGTCTTGGACTTCCCAGCTCCAGAACTGTGTGCTCCCTAAGCCTCTATTCTTCATAAACTATCCAATTGCGCAGTACTCATTATGGAACTAGAAAATGGACCAAGAACCCAGCTTGACAGCATCTCTGCAACGTCTTAAGAGGGTTTTTTTGGGGGAAGTCCCCATAGAGTCCCCTGGGATGGAGCCAGCCTGTGGATTTCCTGCATAGCTTTGCATCCCAGTCTGAATTCCTGTCTCGGTTCCCAGACCACTTTCTTGTTCAGCAGCATCTGGAGTAACTTTTCCAAGGCACAAATCTGCTCACACAAACTCTGCTCAGATGCCTTCAAAGCTCCTCCTGACTCTCAGGACCCATCCCAGAACCTCACCAGGATCCTGGTCCTCTGCCGTCCGGTGCCTGTCAGGGTCCCTTTCTCCCCATAGCCTCGCTGTTCTGTGCTCCAGAGCCACCCACCTTCTTCAGATTCTTTGAAATGCCACCATGGCTTTCTCCGGACAGTGACATCCCCTTTTAGGATCACCTAACCACCTCTAGTCCTCCTCTGATCTCAGCATAGAAGTCTCTTCCTCTAGGAAGCCCTCCCGGACTCTCAGACTGAGTTTGGTGCTCTCCTCGAGGCCAGGCCTACTGTTGTCATCCATTTCCCCTTCAGGTTTGAAGGCCCGTGAGGGCCAGAGCCGTGAACATCTCTGGGAGCACTCACAGCTTGGCTCTGGAGATGTTCCTAAAGTCTCCTGTGTGGAAGGCTTGGTGCCCAGTGCAGCCAGCTTCGGGTTGGGGGGGGGGCTTTGGAAAGTGGTTGGATCATGGAGGATCTGATCTCACCAGTAGATTAATAATTTGGAAGCATTATTTGGAAAGGTAGCAGGTGGAACTTGGTTGGAGGAAGTAGGTCACTGGGGGTGTGCCCTTGGGGACGACATCATGCTCCTGGCCCCTTCCCCTCTCTCAACTCATGCACCTGCCATGAGTTGAGCGGCTTTCTCTCACCACACCCTCTGTCATGATGTTCTGCTTCAATCTGCGACCCAGAGCAATGGGTCCAGCCGACCGTGGCCTGAAACATCTGAAACTGTGAGCCAGACCGAACCTCTCCTTCTTTGATTGGTTTATGTCAGGCATTTTGGTGACTTTTATGAAACACTAACCCAGAATCACTAGGTGGCTGAGGGTGCTCCTCTGGTGTCAGGTGGCCCTCACCAATACCTTCGACGGTGAGTGCGGTGCCGTTGTGTGGTCGTCACACCGCATCCACTGTGGTTGGTCCCCAGCCCCACACTCTGGTTGCTGGGGGGAACCGTCTGTCAGGTGAGATCTTGGAACTGGGGAGGCAGTTGAAGCACTCAGTCTGGGAACCCAGAACAGAACTGTTCTCCCCTCATGGGGGATGCTGGGGTGCAGAAGGGGGAGATCCCACCAGAAGACCCCCCTCAATTGCAGGAGCAAAGGGTCGGTGGCTGTCCCAGATGTGGATAGGACCAGGAGTCCCTACAAGAGGCAGTAGGTGGGCAGAAGCTGGGCCTTGGGACCAGGTGACTCTGGAGGCCAGAATGGGAGAGAGGGCAGCAGGGTCTCCGCTTTGCCCTGGTCTGAGGTCCTGGTGACCTTGGTCACAGGCTTGTGTGGTTTGGTCAATCTGCTAAAGATGAAGGAAGCAGCCCAGACCCTGGGGTGGGATGAGACTGTGTGAGAGGCCAGGGGGCTTGACGCTGGGACATAGGCAGAGCAGGGATTCAGATGGTCAGCAGAGAAGGACACCAGGAAAGAGTCCAGGCACAGGAAGATGTTTATTGCGGTCAGGAGACCTCAGAGCCTCAGAGCTCCACAGTCCCCAGAGTCTCTGTGCCTATGGGAGCCACACATGCAGTTGCCGTCACCTTCCCAAGGATGAGGAAAAGGGCCAGGCCACTCTTGGTGCTCTGCATCAAAGCCAGGCTGTGTCCAGAGACCCATGCCTGGACTTCCATCCCTGGCTCCTAGTGGGTGTCCCCCTACTCAACAGAGGTTGGCTTGGGGTTGGTGACTTTGCTCATAAAGAGGATGACGTCTTCATGGATGATGGCCATCAGGAAGGGCTTGTTGAAATTCACAATGGTCTTTGTGCCTAGCTTTGCCGATGTGAGGACTATTTTGACTCCAGTGGCAGCAACCGCTTCCGTCCCCTCCTCAGTCACATCAAGCAGAGCCTTATGGATCACCTGTGGGGACAGGAGTGGGCAGGAGGGAAGCAGCCTGCCTGAGGCTTTTAGGGAACTGATGCATCACAGGTTTCCGTCGCGACTGTCATATAACCATTGCTGTTGCCTGTTACCATGACTGTCCTAAGAATAATCTGTGCCCACAGATGGAAAAGCTCATGGTGGAAGCCTGCACTTATTTTCCACTGGTGTCTAGCATGGGGTAGTGTCTGCTGCGGTCTGATCCCAGGCCCAGGCTCCTCCCCATGGAGGGCTCCTGTGTCTTGTCATGATGTGTGTGTGTTTGCAGGGTGGGTGACCAGCCCGTAACACTGCAGGAGGGGCTGGGCTGTAGCCCGGCTCTTCAGGGTTTGGTGGAGACCCAGCGAGGGTGATCGGACATTGAGAAATACAGTTATCTGTACAAATTCAAGAGTCCCCAAACGTCCACCCTGGCCTTCACTATTCAGGTTTAGCCGTGGAGAATGAACTGCCCGGAGTTCACAGACTCACCTTAGAGACCATCAGGTTCTTGTACCCCGTGACCCCTGACAGGTCAGCTTGCTTGGAGAAGACCTCCCTGATGCCCAGTTGGTGAAGAGCATCTTCCAGATTGAAGTCACTTGAGATGCAGAACTTGGGCAGATAGAGCTCATCTATCCACCTAAGGAATGAGAAAAGTGAGATCTGACCATCGCTTGACTCCGTGGCCATCCTCCCCCACTGCAGCACTGGATTCCCCAGTTTCCTCCACCACTACCCCTTCTTGCAGGAAAAATGTTCTCTTCCTTGATTTCTTTTGTTACTGTTTGTTTTTTTGGAGAGAGGTCCCCGGGATTTAACTCAGGGGCACTCGAACACTGAGCCACATCCCCAGCCCTGTTTTGTATTTTATTTAGAGGCAGGGTCTCACTGAGTTGCTTAGCACCTCAGTGTTGTTGAGGCTGGCTTTGAACTCGAGATCCTCCTGTCTCAGCCTCCCGAGATGCTGGGATTACAGGCGTGGCCACTGCGCTGGCACCCTTAATACACTTATCACTGTATGCTTGGTCTTACAGCTGCTCGACACAATGAGGCTCTGTCTCCCATTGAACTCTGAGTTCCATGGGTGCATCCTGTTTGTCTTTAGATTCATTCACTCATTCAAATCTCTGAGCACCCAGCGTGGGCTGGGCACGTGCACAGATACAGCAGAGTTTTGTAAATAGGATGTCTTTGATGAATATTCAGAACTTCTCATTGAGATCTGCTCTGTACTAATCAAAGATGAAGGAAAGGGAGATTTTGGAAGTTGAGAATAAGTGGACGGGGAGGGCCCTCTCCAAAAAAACAAGTGGACCCAGGTGTCCTGGGGTCTCCAGGGATCTGGTGTGAGGAGGGTTGAGAGTAGGTAGCCCCAGCAGGTGCCACTCTGGAGGTGCTCGGGGCTGGGGCTGTGGCCTCAAGTCTGTGTTGAGGCAGATCTTTGCCTTCTCTGTTCTGTAAGTGTCTTCCCTGTCTATTGCCTCCATCCAATTCTCAAAGTCACCCCAAGAGGACAAGGACCACAGAACAAGAGCTTCACCTTCAAGAGGCGGAGGCCAGGAGAAAGCAGGTGAGGGTCGGGGATGGTGCTGGAGACGCCTCGTGACTTAGAACATGTCTGAGTCAGAAGAAGCCTGGTTACATTTGATGTCCTCTTAAAATATCTGGCCTAAAGCCATCAGGCAGCAAAGGGAAGAGTGGCCTCAGATAACCCCTGTCCCCACATGGGTTCTTCCACCACTGTGTCACTGGACCCTGGTGAGACCCTGGGGTGGAGGGAGACAGGGCCCTAGGGGCTGGGATGGAGGGGCACCGTCAGCTCCAGTCCTGGGGATACGCACTCCATCTGCAGCGAGTTTCTCCACCTCTTCAGGGTGTCTGGGAGCAGCATGGCCTCCACCTTCCGCATCTTGCCCGAGTCAGGGAGGATGAAGAGTGCACTCGCATTGCCAGCGTAATCCAGCTGAATCACGGTGCAGGAGAGCGCCTTGTCCCGGAAGTAGGGTATGTACAGGTCCTCGGCGCTCATCATGGGCACTTTTATCCACTTCTTCCCGTTCAAGTAGAACCTGGCCTCGGAGGTATCGCCGGGGTAAAAGGGCGTCATCCACTTGGCTAGAGGGGGAGCAAGCCGTCGCAGACCATGAGCACCAGGGCACCTGTGCTCCACCCCAGCTCTGCCCCCAGCCACTCAGGGTCCCTCTCAGGGGTGACCCTGCCTGGGTTTGGGAAAATCCCTTGGCAAGTGGAAAAGCCACGGGGGAAAGGGGAGACCCAGGGGCCTGGATTGGAAAGGGGACCCTGAAACAAAGACCTGGTTACTCGGGCCAGATGACAGGTAGCCAGGCATCTGGGAAGAGGGGATGCTGGAGAGAGGTGAAAATAGGAGAGGAAAGATGGGGCACCCCCTGAGAGTTGCTGAGGGGCAGATAGAGAGGGCCTCACAGTGGGAACCAGGCAGGAGGGGTGAGGAGGCAGGGCTCAGGGCCAAGAGTGACCATAGAATAAAGCTCGTGGGCACTTGTGACATCTCAGTGGTCAGGGTTACTGGACAGCCCATAGCTAGGAAGTGTAGTTTGTGGTTCCCTGACATACACGTGGGTCATGTCCATCTGCATGGACCACAGGCGTCCAGCTCAGGCCTGCCCTAGGTTCTGAGTCTCTGGTCCCACTCCCATCCCAACCCACAGACTTGGAACTGCAAGGATTCCTTGGGCTCGGGACCCAGTGGCCCCCACGTGACGCGGGAGCCTCACCAGCCTTGTGGCCTCTGCGCTGTGGCTAGTGGAGACTTGCAATTTAGTCTAACCTTCAGGCCCTCCTGGCGTTTCTTCCTGCCCTCTGCAGCCCACGGCAGCCCTGGGCCCAGCCTGTGCCCCTGCCCTGTCTTCTGTCTGCCCTTCCCTCTTGATGATTACCCTGGTTTCTGAGAACCAGCCACTTTCTGCCCCAGGCTGACTCCGGTGCCCAGGCTCTCTGCCAATGATTGCTGGTGCTGGGTGCCCAGTCCCAATCTCTGAGCTCTCAACACGGCTTCCTATCCTCTGGGGTTGAAAGAGAGACTCTAGGGTTGGGTGTTACTGCATGTGGGCTCTGGGTGGGCCCCTGTCATGACATCTCCACCTGCTCGGTCTGTTGCAGGATCCCAGCTTTCTCTCTCCTTGACCTATTAGGGGTGCGGGCCGGGGACTCCGTCCTGGGTGCTGAGCTTGTAATTCTGCCCAGTTGAAATCATGAGACTGCTGTGGCTGGTAGAGCTCCCGGAGCGGCCAGCAGCCCGAGGACCCCTGCCAGGCTGGCATAAAAGATCCTCACACTGAAGACCCAGCCACTGGGCTTCCTGTCACTCGGTGCCAGGCGACCAGCTTTCAACGAGAAGCCTTGTCTCCCTGCTGTGGGGCGGGGGCTCCCCTTCCTGCCCTCCCAGGATGGTCCCCTGGGGCCTCCCCTTCCCTGCTGTCCTCTCACAGGCCACCACTGACTTCCCTGGGAGGGGCGGGGGCTCTGCTCTTAGTCTGTCTGGATTCAGAAGAAAAGAAAGCCACTTTTTCTGGCAAAGTCTTTCTTTCTTGGCTCCAGGCCCCGCCTGGCCCCCTCAGGTCATCCAGTCTGCATTCTGGCATCCCTTGGTGTACCCTTTGTGTACCCTCTGCCATCTGGGTGCAGAGGAAGAGGAAGGATGGGGCGGGAGGGGGAGGGGCCAGTGCTCCTCAGCTGTCCTGAGCCTGTCCCCGCTGTCCACGCTGCAGCCCCAGCAATGACCAGGCCCATCCCACACTCTCCAGGTCCTGTCTGTCAGTCAGGAGGATGGGAGGGGTGACGAGGGAGGGCAGGGCGGCACAGGTCTCCATCCCCACCAGGAGGAGGAGCGCGCCCAGCTCCTGGGCACTCCGTGGACCACTTGGTTACCAGCTCTGCCAGGAAGGAGGGACGATAGGAAGGCAGGGGCGGTTGGCGTGTGGCTGGGAAGGAAAGGGTCCTAACAAAGGGACAGGTGTTAGGAGGAGCAACAAGGAGATTCGAAGATCAACAGAGCACATCAGGCCAGGACCAGTAGAGGAGGGAGGCTTGGTCCCGGCTTTCCTCTACAGACGCACCTGCAGGCCCGGGGACAGCGCTCCCCGGAGCTCTGCCTAGTCCACCCGCTCCCTGACTCCGTGGTCCTTTTCTGTGTCCCCATCTCTTCTTTTACTTGTATCTGGGCCACTGGTGGGATCTCCCTGCCCATCCTCTGTCCTTCAGAACTACAGGCTGAGGTTGACCTAGCTGGGTTCCCATCAATGGGATGTGGCACCAGACCAATTAGAACCTGAGAAAGGGTCCCGGCCTTGCACAGTGCCCTTGCCAGAGCCTCTTCCCTGGGGGCGGGCCAGAGTCCTGGACCCTCAGGGCTGCCAGGCCCCACAGGGCCATCTTTGTCTTCCCCTGAGAAATGGCCCCAGGCCTGCCTGGACTCCGTCTAGGGACAGAGGCCGAGCCAGGATAAGGACTACCCTGGGTGGGTAGGTCAGAGATGCCCAAGAGGACACAGGCAGAGAGTCTTTCTGTCCACATTCGGCAGCATGGGGACAAGGACAAAGCTGTGGTTCCTGCCTTCCCTGACGGAATTTGGAAGGAGTGAGTTTCACCTAGGTTAACGGGATGCGTGGAGGTCGCGTGCTGGAAGGACAGACTGTGATTCACAAGCCACAGGGGAGAAGATGAGGCCTACGGACAGAGTGGGGTCTGGTGCCCAAGTCCCCCAAACCACGGACACCTCCTCTCTAGTGGTGGCTGGTTCTCCAAGCCAGGACAGACAGCTCCGAGCTTGGAGTTCCTTTCCTCTGAGCCCAGGCCGGCACTCACCTTTAAAGAAGATGTAATTTAACAGGACCATCACCGTCCGGGGGTCCAGCCCTTTGATCAGGTCCACGATTTTCCCCTGGGTTTTTTCCTTCACATAGTCATTGATGCTCTTCTCTGCAGCATCAAGGTCCTGGAAGTTGGTGGTGAAGGTCTGGGCCTCATATAGGCTCTGGGCATCATCAGTGAACTTGGTCAGCAGCTCCAGATCGTCCTTGACGAACATGGCATTGCCTATGCTGAGCTGCAGCTGGTCGCTGGGCTGGCTGAGGGTGCGCAGGAGATGCTGGAAGCCCTGGTGGATTTCCGCCTCCGTGATCGCCATGAGGTTGAATTTGAGGCCCTGGAGAAGCTCCCTCAGGGTGGTGTTGTGGGCCCCCAGGGCCAGGAAGGCCAGGGCGGTAGAGATGCTCAGGGGGGAGAAGACGACATTCTCTTGGGGATTCCTGGAAGCCAACTGTTTGTAGAGGCTGAAGGTGAAGTCAGCATTGTTGGAGGCAAATCTCAGGGTGTTCGAAGTCGGTGTGCCAGGTGAGTGGCAAAGGACAGCAGGGCAGAACCCTGCCACCAAGAGCCCTAGAGCCAGGAGCGGGGACATTCTCTCCACTCTGTAAAGCAAAGATCTTTTAAGTCTGAGAGGGCCAGGTGGCACCCTGACAGCCGCCCCTGCCTGTACTCTGTCCCTGCTCTGCTGTCCTTTGCCGGCGCTGTGACCCCCCACTCCCTGTAGGTGCTCTCTGGGCACCCAGTGAGCACTCAGGAGCTGCCCTTGAAGGGTTAACTTGCCCCGTGTAATTACCTTTCTCCCATAAGGTAATTACAGTCACTTGGTCATTTTTCCCAGTGGAGAAACTGGGCAGAGAGGTAGGGTTGTGCCAGGGTGGCACCAGCAGGTGGAGGCATGCAGGTGGGAACTGTTGGGAAAAGTGTAACAGCAGCTGCACCCCAGAAAAAAACCCCAACACGGCGCCTAAGGACCTTCTCTTCCTACTTTCCCCTTTTTCCACTGGCACTAAAAGTTCCCACGGGTATGAACTTTCCTGCGGGCGCCAATATTTCAAATCTTGCTGGCGGGGAACCTTAGCCTCAATAAGAACTAATTCCTGGGCTCTGGAACTGATATCTTGAAGAGCTTGCCAATAAACGGGTGGCCCGCCATTTACCTAAGCCCTGCCATCTCTCCCTAGATCTATATAAGCCCACAGCCTTTTGCAATAAAGTGGATCTCTCCCGGGCAAATTGTCTTGCGTGGAGGCTTCTTTCGGGAACAAGTTGAGACACTCAGAATGTCTCCTACAGCAGCACACAAGTGACTAACCCAATCTGGCCTCTGTCTCAGTCTCTACCTGTGAAGTGGCTTGGGGAAGGTCCATGATGAAGGTGTGGCCCCTGGCTCATAAAATGTGTTCCAGGGGGCCACCTCCCCACACTCCCTGAGCTAGGGACCAGGGACTGAGAGGGCCGAGCTCAAAGCAAACAGAGAGCTCACCTGCAGCTCCGGCCCACTCTGTCCCAGCATCCAGGGAGAAGGGGACAGCTTGAGAGGTGGGAAGCAGAGGAAGAGCCAAGAGGGAGAAGGAGAGGGAACAGGAGGGGGAGGGGGGTTACTGAGCTGCTGTCACCAGGGAAATGGAAGTGGCTTCAGACAGGTCCAGGGACTGTGGCAACTTGGTTGACCGTCCTGGTCAGCTTTCTGTTGACTGTACTCTCAGTAATATTTTACACACAAATCATTTCAGGAGGGGAAGGATGGTGAGTTTGGGCTGTCGGAGGTCTGGCTGTTTCTGAGCTGTTTCAGGATAGAGATGCAGCCTGTCCCTGTGCTTGGCCCTGGGGCCTTGGTGGGAAAGTGAAGTCCCCACCCCAAGGCAGCTCCCATAGGGACCCTAAAATCACCCCTGGGTCTGCTGCCTCTGCCCAGAGGGACTCACTCCAATCATCATAGCTGTTCTTTGTTCTGGTTCTGAGAGGACACCCTGTGCCAGGAGAGGGCACCTCCTCCCCCTGAGGGCCAGACTCCAGCTGGCTCCGCACAAAGAATCTACCAGTGTTGCCCAGAAGCACCTCCACTCTTTGTGGGCTTGAAAACACTGCCCCGGGGGTGGGGGGGGGAGGAGAGGGCTCCCCTGGGAGAAGAAGTGGCAGCCCCAGCGCTGCCCCCTTGCCACCGAGCAGCTACCTGCAGGACTCCGGGCCCCCTCCCGCCCCACACGTTCCAGGCCTGGTAGAGCCCCATCCTGGAGAAATGGAGCCCTTGGCTCCCAGACAGAAGGCTGAGGCCTCAGGATTACCTGGCAGGAGCGCTGGCTGGCTGGAATCAGAGGAGGATCCAAAGCCGGGGCCCCAGATTGCAGAGTGCAGTGTTCTCCCCAAGGCCCAAGCCTATTTATCCGCTAGGACTCCTCCCCCTGCTTAGGAAATGTTGACCAGGACAAGGGAGGGCTGTCAGAGTCCAGCTCCAACAGGGGGGCTCAGGAGACTAACGGATGGTGAGGAGTCGGGGAAAGGGGGGTGGAGAATCAACACAGACACCAAAGTGAAGGTGCCGAATCCCAATCTTTACTTGTGAAGTTAGTCATATATATTTTTCATTCTGGCAGGCTCACAGTACTTTGTGGTTACAAAAAAGAAATCATTATTCAAAGAAGCAAAGTGTTACGCAGCTTCAATTAGAATAGAAGAATGTATCTTGGCTTATGCATAAGCAAGCATTTTTACTTTCAGTTCCCGTTTTGCTTTGAGCTGTTTCTGTTTAGTCAGCTTTTATTGGCCTATACCTTGACTATTCTTTCTTGACTTACTGTCTGGAGCCGGTGCCATGGTTATAGCAAGTGGTTAACTTGTTATTAATTTTAATCAAATAAGAGTAAGAGCACAAACCATTGTGCACAGGAACAAGAACAAGTTGCCCAATACCAAGCACTAATCTGTCTTCTTAACATTAATTCTTCTTCTCTAGATTTTAATTTAATTTTTCAAAAACTTCCTTGACTGTTTTTCCTACAGGGGGTTTTTCATTAAACATTAACAATTTACGTTCCATAGCTGAATCATTGCATTTAGAGCAAACAGATTTATTCTTTAGAAGTAGTTGCATTAATTGGGAAAGTCATGTTTTTTCCTTCATACTTAATGGTCATATGAGAAGTCGAATCTATACTTATTAAAGGAATACAAAAACAAATCAGCCCATTCCCAGAAATACACCGCGCTCCTCCAGAGGATGGATGCCTTGTGCCATCCACCTCATTAGGGCCTTGCCAATGCCTGAGTCAGGGGAGGGGCACAGCAGAGGGCTCTGTTTTCAGACTGGAAATGCCCTGACACCCATTTCTGGTAACATGGATTTATAAGATCTTGCAGAACAACCCAGTTACAGGAATAGCCCCTAACTTTTGCTAACATCAAAAAGCGACATTAAAACCATGGTCTCATTAGTGAGATTTCTGTTTATGAAATGCTCACTGAGAAACATGGAGAAAACCAGAAAATAAGAAGACATCAAAAATATCCCCCAGATGTTTATTGCCCAGAGAGGGACCTAGCTAACATTTCGGTATATTTCTAAGTCATTTCTTTCCTATCTGTGTGTATCTTTGTGGGGGTGTGATATGAATCTCCATGCAAATTCAGATGTAGTGTTTAAAAATACAGGACTTTATTTTTCTAGATCTCCATTTGCATTTTGAGCAATCCTCCCCCAGAAGGGTTGGTCT